GTGCCAGTGTTTAGGCTTATGTGGAAAATGTTATGGCTTACATTATATGGACCAGAATTCAGGCCAAACCTCACTACAAGAAAAGCTAGAAATGTTAACAAATAGATATTTCTGTCACAGAAATTAAGAGATATAGAAGATCGAAATGAGAAGGTTCATTGTGTAATATAATCAGTCTTGTAAGAGGAAAAACAAAATCCCAAGGATATCAAGGAAGCAATATTTGGCTAGAAATCATGAGAATTTTCTAGAATTGATAAAAAGATATAAATCCACATATTTAAGAAGTACAATATATTCCAAGAATGGAAAGATTTTTTTAAAAATCCATGCACAAACCTGTTATAACAAAACTCCAGGACATCTAAGACAAATAGAGAGGAAAGCTACGGTGTTTCCCCGGAAATAAGACCTACCCATAACATAAGCCCTAGCAGGATTTCTAAGCATTTGCGCAATATAAGCCCTACCCCGAAAATAAGACCTAGTGATGGGCGTGGATACTCAGCGCATCTGCACAACCCACGCATTTCGTTGCGGAGCGGTAAAGAAGACGAGCAGCCCTTCTCATCTGCCCCATCGTGGCAGCTACTGTCCCAGAGGTGACCAGAAAGGTGCAAGCAGCCCCACCAACAAGGTCGGCTCCCCCCATCTGGTCCCGGCCATCCTGTGTGTGCTGCAGGCTGAGGCTTTGAGGGGAAAATGACACATCCCCTGAAAACAAGCCCTAGGGTGACTTCTTGAGGAAAAATAAATATAAGATCCTGGAGAAACCATGGAGAAACACGGTAGAGCGAAAGAAAGTAGATCACTTAGAAAAAAGTGACATATGAAGAACAACAAACTTGGATTGCAAACACCAAGCACTATGACACCATAGAACATCTTCATAGTGGTGAGAGAGTATAACCACAATCTTCCAGAATTAAGCAGTATGTTCTTTCTAGAACCAAGGCAAAATAGAGATACTCTCAGATAATCAGAAACAGAATTCTACCAGGAGACTTGCCCTATAGAAGATGGAAAATTACAGCATTTTTGAAATTAAAGAAGAAATGTAGAACAAGTAAAACAGTAGTCACATTTGTAAATATAAATACCATCTGGATAAAATAAGGTTTGATTTGTAGAATCAAATAAGGATCAGAACTAAACTGCTGGGCAAGAACTCATAAGTTGACGGAGAGAAAACAAAGTTAAAGTGCGTCACGTGATTCAGGATGATTTAGACTTTGCTAAATTAAGTAAGTGTGGTAAGATTGCAAGGGTAGGTAACCACAAAAGGAACATAAATAGTGTATAAATGCAAGTGTTAATAAAAACAAATTCAATTTTAAAACAGAACAAATACTCAACTTGAAAAGGAGAAAAACTGAAAGATCAGAAGGCATACAAAAACAAGATGATAGAATTGAGTTCAATTATATAAATAATCACAATAACCAAACTGGTTAATAATAATAATAAGCAAATAATAATAATATAATAACCAATAATAATAACCAAATTGGTTAATAAATGGAGATAAGAGTATAAAAAAATACAACAATGTGTTGTCTACAGTAACACACTGAAAACATAGGGACACAAAATACTGAAAATAAAAGTATAGAGAGTGATATACCAGTAAAATACCGCCCAGAAGAAACCTGAACACAATATAGCAACAGCAGACAAAATATACTAGAGTGGAAAGCATTATTTGGGATAACAGAGAATCACATCATAAACTTAAATTTTATATAATAATCCTAGAGTTTAAACAATCTAAAAAATAACATCAATACATTGTAAACAAAAATTGCTAGACTTCAGAAGGCAATGACAAATCTATCATCACAATGAGCGATTCAACACACTTCTTTCAGTGATAAGTTAAGGAGATAAAAAGTAATTAGAAAACAATATTTTGAGTAACACAAATAGTAACTGTGATCGACTGGACAAATACAGAACTCTGAGGATGCACATTCTTCTCAGACACATACGAAACATTCACAAAAAACCCAATCAATATTAAGCCACAAAGAAAGTCTCAACAGATGCCAAAGAATCCGCATGAGGCAGACCACACTCTTTAACCACAGTGGAATTAAAGCCCACGACAGAAGATAAACAAGAGCATCTCCTGCTTTTGGAAATTGGGGGGAGGGGATTTCTAAATAGCTCAGAGACTGAAAAAGCAATCAAAATGCAGATGTTCAAAATATTTAGAAATGAATAATAACAAGAGTACTTCATATCAAATTTGTAACAGTGAAAGCAGCATGATGTACAGGAAAACTCTATGATTGTTGGAAAAGAGCAAAGGTTTAACATTAATGAACTAAGGACAAAGCTTAAGAAATAAGAAAAATAATCACAGTAAGCCCAAATACTGTAGAAAGGAGGATATTATGAAGAACAAAAATAATGAAATGGAAAGCAAAGACAAAAGCTGGTTCTTTTAGGGGAAAAAACCCCAGACCTCTCTGGCAAGATTGATTTAAAACGAGAGAAAAAACAAAAATTATTAATCTTGTAAATGACAGGCTTGGCATGGTGGCTCACACCTGTAATCCTAGCACTCTGGGAGGCCGAGGCAGGAGGATCGTTTGAACTCAGGAGTTTGAGACCAGCCTCAGGAAGAGTGAAACCCCGTCTCTACTAAAGGAAGAAATTAATTTCTCTACTAGAAATAAATTAAGGTGGTTAAAGAAAGGGTTGGACTTAGTAAAGGTTGAATTTAGGATGGCTCCTTTTGAGAACTCAGAAGTTCCCCTTCTCCCATTATGAATTGAGATATATAGCATGGAGCCTTCATAAAAACGGGATAGGTTGAGGATGGAACTAGCAGTTGGGAGTATGCTTAGCTTTAATTTGGATTGGTTAGATCTTAATAGTGTTAAGTGGCACAACCTTATAAATGTGATAGTACAGCTTGTATTTATCTCTAATGGGCCACTGGGTAGATTTTGGGTTTGATTGGTGTCTAAGCCAGTTTATTCATCTAAAGTTGAGTTCATTCTGTTGCTTGACTTCCCCCACCAACCTTGTCTAGTAGAGCCCTACTTCTAAAGGTCAGTATGTCTATTTGGCATCCCAACTAACAATTAAGAGTAGGCTGTAAGGGAAGATTGTCAGTATTTCATGTGGTAAGAAAAGCCATAGTCATTTTGTCTTTGCACTTTAGATGCTCAAATTTTCCCATGGAACATAGCCACATCAAGATAAATGTGAGCTTTTTCTTCTATTAGAATTATTCTCAATGTCTGTAAAAATGGTTTTCTTCTATAGAATTTTTCTCAACTCTTACTGACCCTTGTCTGTAAAACACATGTTTGGAATGACATTTGGAAAAAAGCAAATAGATGTTTCAAAATGAAAAAAAAAAAAAAAAAGAAAGAAAAGAAAGAAATTAGCTGGGTAACTAAAAATAGAAAAAATTAGCTGGACATGGTGGCACACTCCTGTAGTCCCAGCTACTCAGGAGGCTGAAGCAGGAGGATAGCTTCAGCCCAGGAGTTTGAAGTTGCTGTGAGCTAGGTTGACACTATGCACTCTAGCCCAGGCAACAGACTGAGACTCTGTCTTAAAAAAAAAAAAAAAAAAAAAAAAAATTACAAAGAGCATTTAAAAATCCAGATAGAGTAGAAACAATAAAGATCATAAAAGAATATTATGAATACAGTACTCTTCTGTCAATACATTTGAAAATATAAACAAAATAGAAAAATGAATAGAAAAATATGGCTTATTGAAACTGACTCAAAAAGAAATAAAATCTGGATAGTCTTCCAACATTTTAAAAATTGAATCAATAATTTAAAATCTTTCCACAAAGAAAATGCCAAGCTCAGCTGCGTTCTATCAAATATCTAAGAAACATATTATTTTAACCTCATACAAGTTTTCAGGTGTGGGGAGCACACGGGACAGAATATGCTCTTGATATTTCAATTGGAAAGAAGGTTAAATAGAAGGAATTATGTGTTTAGACAATTGTTGGAAAATCTAGAGAATGAAAGTTGGAGTTGGACTTTGGGGTTCAAAGCTACCCCACTGCCCACAGCTGCCATTCAGGAATCAAGAAGCTGCCACTGCTGCTGTTAGTGGGGCTGCAACCGCTGCTGTTACTGTTGCTCTTACCCCTTCTGCTGCAGCCACTGCTGCTGTTACTGTTGCTCTTACCCCTTCTGCTGCAGCCACTGCTGCTGTTACACTGTTTGCGCTGCGGCCTGCTTACTGCGCGTTCTGTTGCTCTTACCCCTTCTGCTGCAGCCACTGCTGCTGTTACTGTTGCTGCTGCTGCTGCTGCTACTGCTGCTGTTACTGTTGCTCTTACCCCTTCTGCTGCAGCCACTGCTGCTGTTACTGTTGCTCTAACCCCTTCTGCTGCTGCTACTGCTGCTGTTACTGTTGCTCTTACCCCTTTGCTGCAGCACTGCCTGCTGTTACTGTTGCTCTTA